TCCGATCTCTTTGATTATTTTGGTTGGAGGAGGATAGTTTTATTTGTTATCTAATCGTTGTTGTTCGGTTTCAGGTCATGTATATGTATGTGTTTGTGCCATTTTTTGTTTTCGTCGATTAGATCTACAATTACTGGTGAGATGATTCTCTTTACCGTTAGCGATCCCATGTACTTCGGTGCTAATTTTGAGTTGATAGCTTTCTCTTTGTTGGATAATGTATGCGCCCGTTTCCATACAATATCTCCGATCTGTGGCTTCCAGGTCCTTCTTCTTAAGTTGTAGGATTCCTCTTGTTTTTGGAACGCCCATGCCATATGAATTTTTACTAGTTCATATGCGTCCTTCAATTGTTCGTGGAGTTTTGTTGATGTCGTACCTGGTCTTTGTTTGCGTTCTAATTCGCACGGTCCCGCGAGTTCTCTACCGTTGTTCAAGAACGCCGGCGTATATCCCGTGCCTTCATTTTGCGCTGTATTAAAAGCAAACTTCATTTGGCTTAAATTTTCATCCCAGCTTCTATGGTCTTTTCCTACGTATTGGGAGATCATTGTTTTATCGTACGATTCGCTCTTTCTTTTCGGAGTTGCATTGGGGAGTCCATATCGGTGTCCATCGGTGTTGTATTTCTAGTTCCTTGGTTATTTTTCTCATGTTCCCCGAATTGAACTGCGTCCCATTGTCCGATATTATAACATCCGGGCATCCGTCTCGGTAGACGATCTCCTCTAGAAAGCCTTGTGCCACTGCGTTAACTGTTGCTTGGCGTAGCGGCTTTATCTCGATCCATTTCGAGAATCGGTCCTGCATCGTTAGGATCCATCTGTATCCTTTTTTTGGATCTTGGTAGCGGTCCTATAAGGTCTAGCGAGATCTGTTCCCATGGTCTTTGTACAGCCGTGGCGTGCAGCTTTCCTGGTGGTTGCATTTGTGATACCTTGTGGGCCATGCAATTTTTACATTTTTTTACATATTGGCTGATGTCTCTAAACATCCCTGGCCAATAGTAAAGGCGAGCTACTCGGCATATTGTTTTCGCGATCCCGAGGTAACCCGCTGCTGGGTCGTCGTGATATGTTCGCAGTATCTCCGGATGTTGCTCGTGCGATATGCATTTTTTCCATTGATCCTGGCTTGATACTTCTTTGAAGTCGAGACTGTAGAGGATATGTCTGTACAAGTTGCCGTCCCTTATCTGATAGTCTGGTAATAGCTGAGGTTGCTCTGCAACTTGGTTTTCCTTTTGTTTGTACCATTGGCACTTCGTGTTTGCTTGTAATGCGGCGATTATCGGTTGTCTGGATAGTGCGTCGGCTACTCTATTCATGCTTCCTTTTCGGTAGCGTATTTCGAATGTATATTGTTGTAACTCGAACTCCAT